CACTGCTACTTTATCTTGTCATTAATAAAAATTCAAATTCAAAATATTAATTCTTCTTTTCTGAGACTACACTTAGCCTCTATCGTGTACGCCACGATTTGGGTAAAGTAAACGTGTGATAACAATTATAAAATAACAATGATTAACAATTAAGTCATAAGAACTAAGTCAGAACACCTAAGAAGTAAGTCAATGTCCCTCCAAGGCTTCCGTAGCCAGGGTATCTGTCTTTTCCCCGAGATATTTTTACTAAAAAAATTCAAAAAAAAATTTCTTTGATCAAAATTTGCTCATAGTGGACAATATTTAGAAAATAAAGAACACCGGCTGTATATTTAATATGAAGATTCAATTTTTTTTTTTTTTTTTTTTTTGGATATATCTAGCTGTATGATTTGAATTATTCACAACATTTTTATTTAAAATTTGCCACCAAAGTCTTTGAGGAGAGAAAATGTTGGTAGTATTTTCAACGATAAAAAAATCATTCCAATTCAGTGCACTTTAACAATTATTGAATGGATAACCACATACGACTAAAGAGTTTATTCCTTTTGAAGAGTTTTTTTTTTTTACAATAAAAACTTGTCTCTGGGTATAAAATATCTGACATTATTTTAAAAAATAATTATTGATGATCAAAGATTTTTCTTAACAAGATGTTGCGATACAAGGGAATATGAGAGTTATTGCTGTTTTCTGACATTATAAATCTGTCTGAAAAATATATTATGAAATAAAGACTTAAATTTATGCAAAATACCTAAAGAATCAAGGAATTTATTAGGAAATATATACAATAATATTGTTTATATATGTTCAAGTTAATGAAAAGAATGTCAATGTTGTTACTCTAAAATAGTTATTATTTAGGATGACATCTACTCAAGGTTTTAGTTGGCAGAAACGGATTATCATCAATTACAACGTCTTAATAAAAAATGTTCAAAATAACTGTGTAAAAAGTCAATATCAATATAAAAATTTTACTATCTGTCATTTGACGTAAATATGCAACAACAAAGGTGAATTAATATTAATGTAGAGATATCCGGACTAATTTTTAAAAAAATCAATTTTCCCTTTTTTATAAAACAAAAATATTTCTTAACAATTTTATCTTACAAATTAGGTTTCTCTGCTTTTTTAATATCATTTAGCAAATTTCATATTTGTTCAAGCTCATTTATTATTTTAGATCATTGGAAGGTATGCAATAAAGAAAATATGAAAAATGAACAAAAACTATTCCAAACAGCATATTTCAAAAATTTGATCATTGACCTCATATAATCTTTATACTAGCAGAAAAAGGACAATATTAAGTAATCTGAGATTATAATTTGCAATTCCCATCATTCAGTTTTCCTCAATATTAGATGAAAAATCGGTAGAATTTTTCAAAAATGACTGAGGAAATTCCGACTGGAACATTCCACAAGTTTACTCCTTAACCTCTGGTTGTTCATTTTATTTATCAACACAATCCTTGTTTTCATTATATTTCATTATTCAAAGAATGTTGTTAATTACTTGTTATATACTGCTAAAAAAGAAAATCTTGGTCATAGTGCAAAATATTTTGGGACTTTTCAAGAAATACCATGCTCAAAGGCCACTAGCATGAAAAGTAGGCATTTACTTATTTAAACAACACCACAATTATCGGTTTTCAATGTACGATAGGTGTTATTTTCCATTTTTATTAGTGAAATTATTTGCAAATTGGCCATCAGAGTAAATGTCATTCTTAAAAAAAGTCTTTTTTCTCCCTTATTCTGAAACAAATTTAAGTATATAAAGTTTCAGCAATGCAGAAGTATACCCAATTCTCTAAAATTTATCCTCAGAAATAATAAATATTTGCACTTTTTATGTTTGTATGCGTTTGAATTATGGTATTCTTGTAAATTATATAATATTTGCACAATGAAAAGACAGATTTTTCCTGTCCATCTTTAGTTTCAACAAGCAAGCATGAGGTCTTAACCTAAGGGGTTTTCCTTCGAATTTTTGGACCCCTTTTAAGTTAAAATATGCTCAATAAATTATTAATACTGATTTCTGGATGTGCATTTTTTTCTTAGGTATTTTGAAGTCTATTGTAAGATACGGTCATATTTTTACGAAAGCAGATTTATCCACATTTATATGAAAACATTTTTTTCCAATATCGTAAAAAAAAATTAAGTAATAAATATGTAGGTACTCCATATTTTGTCGTCTTTCAAAATTTTATTAAAGTTGGCCTTAGTCAGGGACAGCATTGCAAATATTGCAGAGTTGCATTCTACAGATAATTTTTATTTTTTAATTAAATTTATTTATTTTTTTCGAAAAGGTAGGCTTACAGTTCTGAAATTCGTCTCTAAGTTAATGATATCATTTATTACAGCGGAGGGAGAGTATAGTTGGAATTCAGAGAAATTAAACAAATGAACATTTGTACAAGATCATTGCAAGAAGATCAGGAATCATTCTCAACATAGGATGAAAAAAGGTATTTCACATATTTGTTAATACCTTGCTTTTAAAAAGTGTACAATAGATAACCTTCTCATAAACAATCCAATGTTTTTTAATTACTCTAATTATGTGATGAATGGATACAATGACGACATATAATTTTTTATGACGGAAACAGCGAGGGTAACTAATTTTCTAAATTGGTTTTCTCCCGAAATATCTTTTTCTCTGATTAATATCTGCTCATTGTTAAGAATAACTTTAAAAAATCAGCTGTATCCTTGATATTGTAAGTCTTTGAGGAAATTTAAAGAAAATGTTGATAGTAAAACCCACGATGGAAAGCGATCCATTCCATACATTAACAAATCAAATGTTCTGATAAACTGGAGTCTTGAAGATTTGCGAGATTTACATTACATGAAGTTATATATTTCCATCTCTTGCTTTGACGTGTTAAAGCATATATAAAATTAAGACTAAAATGTTCGAAGATATATTTTCATAATTATAATTTATATGAATAACCACTCAGGACTAAAGGGTATATTTTTCTAGAACATTATAGCGAAACTACTATCTGGGTAAAAAATATAATTTTGTAATAAATTTCTGTATTCATAGTAAATATGTTTTGAATTGATAGAATTTGCAATGCAGGGCAATGTGAGAATCACGGCTCGTTTATGATACAACCTGTCTGGGGTAAAAAATGCAAAAATAGAAATGTGTTCTGCGCAATTTTGGATTAAGATTTAGTAATTGGAACAGGAAAATAATTATCCTTTTGGACAACAGGAAAAATGCGTTTAAATTTATAGATAATTCAAAGCCCAAAATATTCATGGGGCGACAAGAAGAAATTTCCTGAGAGGAAATTCATGCCAGCACATTTCTATAATAAATATATTCATTAAAACTTTATTTTTGAAAATGATCACACAGGATATATATATATATATATATATATATATATATATATATATATATATATATATATATATATATATATATATATATATATATATATATATATAATTTTTTGGCATACCGTTCATAATTTACAATTATTTCTTGTTAGAATGATTGAAAATAGAAAAAAAAACTCCAATACAATTTTGTCATATTTAATTAAGATAACATATCACTAAAGTTTTCCCCACAAGAAATATCTGAGATATTAAATTTATTGCCGGAAAATGCTCAGACAATATCATTTTGATTCATATTATTTCTTTTTTTATATATTATTTTATAATTTATTTATTCATTAATTGTTTTTACTTTTTTGAGTTTTTAAAATTTACACAAATTTCTGTCACTCCTCTTCTTTTGTAAGATTGTAAAATTTTCAATGTTACATGTACATGAAAAATACATCAATTGACTTTTTTAAACACTAAACGTATGCATTATAATTATTTACTCATTACACTGTATTATGCCTCTTAACTGGGTCACAACCAAGACTCATTCGAGAACATTCCTGAACTTGTTGTTAAAAAAAATTGTTCCTGCTAATGTGCATAATTATGGCTCTTATTGTGAGCAGCTTAGTTTCCGTTTACCAAAAGGGAGTAATAGTGAGTTTGAAAAAAGTGACACATGATAATTTGTTTTCATTTCCCTGTAAATAATAGTTTAATAATTTTCAATTTGTTTTTTAAACATTTTCCAAACATTCTCTTCATATAACATGTTTTCTCATTAGATTATTTGAGATTCATGCAATCTGTTGCCATGATGTATAAAAAGCTAATAAGAAGCAATAATTTGTAGCTTTCCTTTTTTTTTCTTTTTGGTTGAACTTGCCTGAATTCTCTAACGATTTCCCAACCAACAATATTACCAATATTAATTATCAATTGCTTTAAACATTTACAAACAAAGGTGTGCTGTAAGTAGACTGTTTAATCTCTTCACACGCTCTAGTAGAATTACGTATTGTAGGTCATTAAATTTTCAGAAAATGCTGAGTACTTATGTACGCCAATCCCCAGCATTTACTTGATCCTATATTTGCACAGACCTTTATCATATGCTGTGTGTTTTCATCCAATCAGAACACTGTTGATTAACCAATCAGCGAAGAGAAACATGTGGAACGCGGAAGTTTTAGTGACATATATATTTTACTTACAGATTTTGTTTCAAAATTTTAAAATTGAAATTCATCGACCCGTTTTTTTAATAAACAATTAATAGAAAATAAACTTGTAGATGTGCGGTTTTACATATCTAAATTTCTTTTCATAACGTTGTAACCACAAAAAACAAAGAAAAAGAATTTCATTAATTGCATTTATTATCAACGAGAAAAACTATAAAATATATATAAGTTTTATGATTGCAAAAATAAGGAAACAAAACGAAACTGCTGTTGTTGGAAGAAATAGTCAAACAGGCGAAAGATTCTGACTACTCACCAAGGTTAAGAATATGCATGCATACGTCATTAATCCAATACGAACATGGCGAGAGAACCAATCAAACTATGACCTTGCTCCAGAAACGCCCATCACAGAATTAAATTAGAAAGACTTGGATACAAAATTTTTAGGATTTCTGGGGGCATTTTCATTAAGCATAGAAAATAATGCGCCTAGAAACCCACAAACTGCATACCCTTTAGTCTTGTTCCAGGTTTTTACGAGACCGGACATGTTGTTACGTAATTGTCGTTTTCTCCGAATCCATGGACAGTTCAAAGAAAAACCACACACCCGTAAAGAGTATGAATGAGCTCTATTTCAGTCTACTACGAACCCACTGAACTGGATAAAAGATAAGTCACAACGACCTTTAACAAAAATCAAACTTGAACCCCTTGCTGAATTAAACCAACCGTTGTGCAATGTTTGCTAATCAAGAAGGGTGTTTAAGCGGGAAGCAGTTGCTATTCTTTCTTTTCCACTTTTTTTAAAACGAAGATATCGTTATGCACACCATGTGTAAATAGAACTTTCTGCATATAGATAATAAAACAGAGAAATCAATCGATTCATAAAGTGATCTCAAGAAAAGCATATGTGAACAATTGATTAAAGACTGAGGGAGAAACTATCTGAATAGAGAACAAAAATGTGGGTGGGATTGAGAGCCGTGTACAGGTTTTCCTCCCTAACATAGTGATTTTAACCTTTTACTATGAAATCGAAACAACTTGAGTCAGAAGCACATGCTTTGTTTATGTATATATTAACAAATACCTCAAACATAAATACCGAAGAACATCCGGACTGACTAACAGAGGCAAAAGGTCAAAGTGTATTTTCAACAATGCACCTCTAAGAAATAAAATTTAACCCCTAGGAAATACGCAAATGAATGAGAAAATTCCTGAATGAAATTAACAGTCATTAAAGTACTAGACTGCCGGAAAGTCGACTACCGCCATCACATAGAGAAAAGAAAACGATACACAAACAATAGATAGTACGAAAATGGAAACAGCTGTACATACAAGCATGACAGGCTAAACAAATGCAAAACGTTACCAAAAACTTTGATGATCTTTTGTGGTTCGCACCACCTCTAATAGCATCATGTCGCCAGCATCGAGGAGAGATTCAGCATCGGTACAAGACTTCATCTGTAATAAAATAAAGGGACATATAACACAACTTCAAACTAGGGTTTTGATAGGGAAGTATTTTTTGGTTTGTTGCATATACCAGGAAACTGGGTTCAAACGGACGTTGGTACATCGCGACACTTGTGTCTATTTTTGAAATATGTGGGAAGAGATGTATAAAACTGATTTCACGATATTTCAACTTTTATTGAAATTCTCGTCAAATTTTCAAAATTTGTCATAGAAGAGATGTAATAAACTACACTGAAATCAAAGCTGGAAAAGACTTTAATTTTTAGAAACTTTTAACCTTGCACTGTTAATTTCAAGTTGCTTCTCTACATGTTAGTTAGTAAAGCTACAAGATAAAAGTTGTTAAAGATGTTTTTAACAGATTTATGGACATATAATTTTTTACTGTAAATAGCGAATGAACATATTCGTTATGAGCTATTTACTTGAAGAAATAGATAAAGTCACATTTGCTGCCAACCCTATACTAAGTGTTTTCTCAGTTAGCAAGAAAGAAACAGAAAAAAAGGTGATAAATAAATGAAATGTTGTAACAAATCAGAATATGTCAGTTTCTTGTGATAAAAATGAAAGAAATGACTATTGGATAAACAGAAAAGTCAAAACTTAACTTCCGTAAAATGAAATAGAGAAGAAAAAAAATGGTTGTATGACAAGTCTTGTCTTGAAATATCTAGTTCCTAAAATACAACAGAGAAAAAGAAATGAATAGAGACACAAAGAAGCAGTCTTTTTTTGTTTGAAACATGCACAACAAAAGGGAGAAAATGACAGGGAAAACTTACCATTCCACAGTCTTTGAGCTTTTTTGAACATGTGAAAACCTAATGCCGATTAAAATGTTACTCTATGCATACATGGAATTACTTCCAGTTAATAAGGATGTGCATTTTGAGTGTTTCCTGATTAAAAAGGAAATGAACAAATTCATATGTTCGATAAATGATTGAGGTAATTAACAGACACTTCTAAATATTCTCATACTTTTAATGAGAATTCCTAATTTAGTATCATTATTACAAGGATGTACAAAGCAGATTGTATGAGGACATTGCTTTGCATGTATTCTTAGATGCAGGCTTCAATCAAGTACTTTCAAAAATCGAAATGTTTGCAATATTTTTATCTTCCTCCTTCATTTTCAGGAATATCTTATAAAATAAAATGAAAAGTATTGATTGAGTTTCATTAACGACTTTCTGTGATAAATGCTTTTCTAGATTTCATTCATTATATATTTTCATAAAGTAAAACACTAACTGTCTTTCATTTACATGTAATATATTATAATATAGTGCACTTATATAATGTTTTATGTCCTTGACTTCACCTGTTAATGAAAGGAAATCATTTAGTGTGTAATAATTTTTATTCATTTTTTAAAAATCTGCATTTTGAAAACTTGCAGAAGTTAAAGAATTACTTTT